GTCAGACAAGGCTGCATCCTATCTCCCTACCTATTCAACTTATATGCAAAACATATTGTAGGGAAAGCAGCCTTGGACATGGGAGAGAGAGGAGTGAAAATAGGAGGAAGAATATCTGAGATATGCCGACGACACCATAATACTTTGGACACATCATGAGAAGGCATGAATTGATGGAAGGTGGAGAAAGAGAAAGAGAGGAAGGCCACATATTAGATAGATGGAGTTTATTAAAGAGACCATGAATAAGAGTTTGCAGGAGCTGGGCAGAACAGTAGAGGACAGGGGGCCCTGGAGATGTCTCATCCATAGGGTCACCATGGGTCGAGACCAACATGAAGGAAGTTAACAATAACAACAACATAAAGATCTTGTAGCACCTTTGAGTCTCATTGAAAGAAATTGGCAGCATGAGCTTTCCTAGCCTTAAGTTTACTTCTTCAAATGCTTTTGGTGTCTCCACCAAATGTATTTGAGGAAGTAGACTTAAGTGTACAAAAGCTCATGCTGCCAACTTCTTTCTTTCTTTCAGTTAGTTTCAAAGGTGCTACAAGATCTCTCTACATACCGATTCCACAGACTAATACAACTATATCTTTGAATTCTATATAAAAGGCAGTATAATTAATATAGTGAATAATGAACTAGGCCTTCCACCTCTCCAGAACCACAAATACACAGTCATTGTGTATAAGGAATCCCTTTATACCTTCCCTCTAGATGGGCAGATGGCATTGTTTGAAAATGGAGGACTGTAAAAGTTTTTCTAAAAGCGACAAAGGTTAGATCTTGGGGGGAAGAAATCAAAGACAAGAAGGATTCAGAGTATTGATTTTCAGCAGCAATTTCAGGTTCATGTATAAGCAGAGTATACAAAGTGTTTTACAATACTAGTTTATCCCCCAGACCAGTGGCTCCCAAACTTTGGTTCTCCAGGTTTTTAGACTACAGCTCCCAGAAGCCCCTGCCAGCTTGGTCAATGGTCAGATATTCTGGGGGTTCACATACAAAACATCTGGAGGACCAAAGTTTGGGAATCTCTGTCCCAGACCATTCTGTGACATAGATTAGGAAAGGTATTTGTCTAAGGTTAACATTACTGGCAATTTGAAACTGACTTTCCGATTTCCTCACTGTTACCATCTGCCTTTTTCCTGATGTTTAATGAGAAATGAGTAGCACTAGTGAGAGGCAGCATGGTGTCGTGGTTTGAGCATTGGATTATGACTCTGGGGAACAGGGTTCAAATCCCCTTTTGGCCATGAAACCCACCTAGTGACCCTGGGCAAGTTACACTCCCCCAGCCTCAGAGGATTGCAATGGAAAAATCCCTGTCAAGAAACATGTCAAGAAAACTCTGTGATAGGGTTGCCTTATGGTTGCCCTAAGTTGGAAGTGACTTGAAGGCACACAACACAACAACTCTACAGAGGTGTTTAACGGATCACCAAGATAATATATGTGAAACACTTTTTTTGTGGGTTTTTCAGGCTATGTGGCCATGTTCTGGAAGAATTTATTCCTGATGTTTTGCCTGCATCTGTGGCTGGCATCCAGGAACATCAATTAAGGGTGCTTGTTTACAGTTGCCTCTCTCCCTTAGGAGTCAATGTGCCAAGCGTTACATACCCATAATGTCTTATGATCAGGAACAGCTTGTATTGTCTAGTACGTTATTTAGTTAAATGAGCAAAGCATTTTGTTTATTAATTTAATTGAGAGAAAGTCACACAACCTAAAGCTGTTTGACAGGAGGGGGTGGGGACAGGGCCATCCAGGCCAACCTCCTGCCATGAAGGAATCAAAGCACCCCCAACAGATGGCCATCCAGTCTTTGTTTAAAAATCTCCAAA